ATTTAAATCAATTCAGACTGTAAGTATAGCTTGAAGTTAATGCTAACCCTGTTGTTGCTATTAGCCACAATTAATAAGTGGTCTAAACATCAAGCTAAAGCAGTTGATAGGCCAGCTACTTTCAGTTCTAGGAAATAGTTTGATGAAAATTAAACAGAGTAAAAATGGCAGCTAAAAATAAAGCAATAAAATAAATAAACCATTGCACTAAATAAATGAGTTAACATTTAAAAATAAGTACAATGTATTTATTTACAGTTGACGGTGTTAGAGCTGTAAGTATTACATAAAAGGATATAGGTATATGAAATTACAGTGGACAGTAACTACAGGTGGTTAGCTAAGTAATTAAATAGTGATTGATAAAAGTCATGTATATATTTAGCTGTGTGTAGATTAGAGAATATCCCCCCGAAATTCAAACTTGTACGTGGTTATAGATGCAAACATGTTACAGTTTGTTAGCTAAAGTGAATGGATATGTAGTTGGAGCAGGCAGACACAGTAACAGGTAGATGCCCTTCAGTGAGTACAGTTTTAGTTTAGTTTGGACAAAATGTGCAGCTTGTGTGGTGGTAGTATCCAACCAAACCTGTTTATTATATGTTAAAAACATATATTTTACTGAATTAAAAGCATTCATTAAAAATAAATACAGGTCAACAGATTTGTGAGCGAACCCAGAGCCCCTTGAATTCTCTGTTTTCCAATACAGCGTTTCACTGTTTCACAACAGATCAGAAGCATTTTCTGAAAGGCGACTATCTGAAGTTCAGTGATGGATGCTCCAAACTGCTGTCAGGGCACAGATTTCAGGACAAGTATGTTGTGCTTCATTCAGAGAAGCTGCTGCTCTACAGGGATATCAAAGTAAGTACACTTTCGCCTTAATCTGCTGTCACATTTACAGCAAACACTCGCCGCCATGGAAACACAGTGTCTCCGGCGAACAGAGTGCGCCATTAATCCCGGGGTAATTTAAAAGGTTATGGAGCTGCTCAAGAAAGCCAAAATGTGTTTGAATGGAGCCGATACGACTACGACTGAAACAGACCAAAAATCCAGCCGGTCTGCGCTTCGTCTCCCTGGCAACGTGTTTGTCTCAAGGTTCCAAATTTGCAAATTAAGAAGGAAAATTTTTTTTAAAAAGGGAAAGAATGCGACGTGTGCTTCAGAGACGACCAGCAGGACCGAGCTCCCTAGAGGGCTTTTCCTCTCAGCACATTTCTGCAGAAACATAGGATTCGTAAAGGAGTGTGAAGAAGTGTTAATAATTGATGGGGGTGCAGTAGTTCTGGCAGTAGGCTTGTGTGGTGAGGGGTAGGTGGGAGGGGGACATGGATAAGGTTGGCGTGTTGTGTACGGGGAGGTGTACCTTCACTGAAAGCTTCATTTATTTATTATTTATTTATTTTAAGGTCGTACCAGAGTAGCTAATTACTGCATAAATGCAGGGGAAATTAGAAGTGTTACTGGAACTTAATTGATATTCTTTGGCCTCTGCAATTACTGCCAGGTCTGTACTTAGTGCAGATTATGCTGGATGAAACACTGAATGTGTGGTGGGTTGTGATGTGTAGGTGTCAGAGGCAAAGCTACAACTTTGATTTCGCTCGCTTTGTTCTCTTTCACTTTGTTCTTTGTCAGTTGGAAGAAGAGGTTTTTGCCGGTAATGATTTGTGTTGCGATTCTGTGGAATGGCACTTGTTGGCATTCTATTGTAGTTTTAATTATTTTAGTAAATTTAATTATTTTTCCCCCTTGAATTTAGATAATTATTCCAAACAATACGCAGTTTTTCCTTTGTACGCCTCCATTCTGGTGACAGCTGGCAGTCGGGGGCATCATGTTTTGGTCCATCCGTCAGTCCATCTGACCATCCGCCCATCGTCTTGAATCCGGCATATGTCGAATGCCTAGAGGGGATTCTTAAAATATGACATAAGCATTCACTTTGGCTTGAGGAAAAACTGATTAGATTACAGTTGTCAAAGGTCAAGGTACATGCGACCTCACATTCTGGCCTCACGTCCGTCTCATCCTTTTGAGCGCTTCATCCTGGGAGGACCTGGAGGGAATTTAATCATGTATGGTGCAAGCTTTCTCTTAGACTCAAGCGAACTGATTTGATAGTTCGAGGTCACAGTGACCTCACAAAACACGGTTTGGCCCAGAACTCAAATATTTATACACGAATTATGACAAAGGTTCCTGCTAATATTAGAAAATAAGGAGGTTTTATATCCAAAATGTCAAAGGTGAGCTCTGCTGTGCTAGCGTCTATGTTCTGCAGTAACACTTTCCTGACCATTATTCAACACCATCAGGAACAGTGTTCACCCATTGGCCACTTTATTAGGCACGTCTCGCCGGTACTGACCTGGACTCCTTTTTGCCTTAAGTCAGAGATTTTGCCCCATGTTGACATGGCATTATCGCACATTTGGTGCAGATTTAACATTCATGATGTGAATGTCCTGTTCCACCACATCCCAAAGGTGCTCTGTTGTGACTGTAACATTGAAACTTATCAGACCAGGCAACATTTTCCACATTTTATTGTTCAATGTTTACTGTTACTGGTTGGGTCTTCATGTGCCTCAAGGTTCAATGTGTTCTCTATTCAGAGATGCTCATGTCCATAAAGAGAGGCTATTTGAGCTACTGTTTCCTTCCTATTAGTTCAAAGCTGTCTGGTCATTCTCCTCTGACCTCTGACATCAAGATGTCGTTTTTTTCCCGAGAACTGCCGCTCGTGTTATATTGGTATTTTCTCATTTCCAGACCATTCTCTGTAAACCCTAGAGATGGTTGTGTGGGAAAATCCCCAGCAGATCAGCAGTGTCTGAAATACTCTGACCAGCATGTGTGGTACCATTCAAAATCACTTAAACTACCTTTATTCTTCATTCTGTTGCTCAGTTTCAACTACATGCTTAAATAAATTGAGTGGCTGCCACTTGATTGGCTCATTAGATATTTGCATTAACAAGTAGCTGAACAGGTGTACCTATAGAAGTGGCCACGAGTGTCTCTGTGTTTGTTGCTGAATGCAGTCTTTGCTGTGCCACCTTACCTGCTCAAAGTGTGTTTGGTTTGGTTTTGCAGAGCGCTAAAGCCGAGAAAACAATCCCACTGAAGGATGTGAAGTGTTACCTGGGCCTGAAGAAGAGGCTCAAACCTCCAACCAAGTAAGCAGCACTCACACATCCTGTATAATAAAACATCCTCCTTAAAATTATTCGATTGAGAGAAGGATTTACCCTTTTTTTTCCTCCTGTAATGGAATAATGTAAACATCCCAATTCGCAGTCTTGTATACACGTCTTGATTTGGTGCATGCTGTTAGTTTTCATCTTCACTGTTGATTAGCGAGTACAGCTGCAGTGGAATTAATGTGAAAGCACTGCTTTTAATACCTGATGCTAGGTTGTTTAAAGTGAGCAATAAACTGGGGAGAAAACACAAATCAACAGGACAAAATGCCTAGAAGCAAAAATGTAAATCGTACACCGTGTTATTTAATTCATTGGTTTCGTGAGGGAGATTTTATTTTTTTATGTTTTGGTTCTTTGACTGTTTAAGTGAAATGCATCTGCATCTCTGCTGATAAAATTACAGCTGCAAATGGACAAAACTAATTTGGAATAGCGGAATAGGTTTTAGTCATAACATAGAGTAAAGCATCTTCTGCAGCCTGTATAATTCCAGGAAAATGGATGTTCTGCCTTCCAGCCTGTGGTGAAGTCCTGTGTTGTGCTGCTAATGTGCATTTATTAATTTGCACCATTGTGTAATTGTTCCGCCACCGAAGAGCCTTCATTGCCTCAGAGATTTTGCCGAAAAAACACAGGTCGCTTTCTCTCTTCCACCGGTAAAACAACAGTGGCACAAATTCTCTGCTGAATCGCAGACACAACTGCCCGTGTCACCGGGGTCAGGCAACAAATACAAAGCAGATTTTGTGATTTTTCTCCAAACCCCCCGTGGCCATTTTTCTGGCATATTTACCAAAAATGGATGCTGCATCGTCACAATCACGATCATTCGATCCAGCGTTTTGAGTTTTAATATATTTTTATTTTTCCGGTTTATGTTAAAGTTCATTAGCTTCTCTAAGTTCATTTCTATTTTGCCTATGTTGTCCTGTTAAAGTTTGTTTATTCGAATCCCCTTGTGTCTTCACCCCTGTGTTTAAGTCTCCCTCGCCCTTCATGTGTTTCTGCGTCTCATTATGTTTCCTGTTTTATTTTGAAGAGGTCTTGTGTCACATGTTCATTGGGTTTTGTTTTACTTCCCCTGTGGCATCATTATGTTGACTCTAATCAGCTGTTTCCCCATGTGTTTCCACTTCCCCTGATCACCTGCGTATTTAGTCTGTGCGTTTTCATTTAGTCCTTGTCAAGTCATTTGTTGAGTTCTTCGTCATTTTTCCATGCCTCTATGTTTGCACGTTTTTCCCATGTTCAGATTTTTAATCATGTTCAAGGTTTTATTCTTTGTCTATTGTGTTTAGCATTTAGTTTTTCCCAGTTCTAGTTAGTTTCCCGTCAGTGTGCATCTGCGTTTTTGTGCCATTTTGTAGTATTTCCAAATGGTAAATGGTAAATGGACTGGTTCTTATATAGCGCTTTTCTAGTCATCTGAGCACTCAAAGCGCTTTACACAACTTGTGCATTCACCCATTCACACCCATTCGCACAAGCACATCTTTCTAAGTGCTTTATAGCTAACATTCACACACATTCATACTCCGATGGATGCATCGGAGAGCAATTTGGGGTTAGTATCTTGCCCAAGGATATTTGGCATGCAGATTAGGGGAAGCCAGGGATCGAACCACCAACCTTCCGATCAGTAGATGACCTGCTCTACCACCTGAGCTACCACCCCAAGCCACAAATAAATGTCTCACGTTTTTTTAAATTATAGTTTAATTCCAAGTGTCTGCATTTGAGTCCTCTTCCTCCCTCCAGACATGCGTACATTCTTACCAAATCAGTCCTCCTGGGAGTGACGCTGTATTTCCTCTTTCCCTTCCTCTACCCTCAAAGTTTTGCCACCCATCCCTCCCCTAAAACCAGGGATGTCAAACTGATCTTACATCGTGGTTCACATACACCTCACTTTAATCTTAAGTGTGACCAGTGAAACTCTCCTTTCTGTCAGTGTAAAGAAGTTTAACTACACATTAGTCCCTGAGATATTTTAATATGTGAACAAGAAGGACAATTTCAACAGTACTTCACAGTTTTTCCACGTGATAAAGAAATGCTGCTGTAATCTGAAATCTTTCAGTCTTAAATTGTAAGAAGTAAATGTGTAAAATTACAGGAATAAATCCTGGCAGCTCAATGCCCAGATGGTGCTGTTATTATACAACAGAAAGCTTCTGTTAATTCATAGAAAATTTTCTTTTTTTTTTTGGCCCCTTTTTGAAAACCAACCAAACCGGAAACCGGCCTTTTTTTTGTTCATTGTTGAAAGGCGGGGATTTTTTTTTTTTTTTATTTTTTTTTTTTTTCTTTTGTTTTGGCTTAAGGGGCCTTCGAGGGGTTTTTTTTTGTTTTGAAAGGTTGCACCCTTTTTACTTAAAGTTAAAAAAATGTATTCCTAGCTTTACATTTTCCAAATGCATCCAGTGGGGCCCGATTAGAGTCGTTCCCAGGCCATTTCTGGCCCTCAGGCCTTATGTTTGACATCCATGCCCAAGACCCTCCTGACCCCATCTTATTTTTCACTGTAATGAAATTGATTAAATGTAATTGCGTTTTAACAAATACAAATTATTAAACTCTGTTCCCGCAAGTAGAAAAACATTGCCGCCACTGTTTTATTTTAATGATCCTCTGTTATTGGAATTGATGACACATGCCAGCGCCGCAGCATTTCTTGTTGGTCAAACAAAGAGGAAATTTATTCTATATTTCACATCACGCGATTATAATTCCTCATAATTTTCCCCGTGTCGGACTGTCGAGTCGAACAAAAAAAAAAAAGAAGTGAGAAATGAGCCCAGACTACAATTGTCTGCATTACGAAGTCCTTCAGGGCGAGGAAAACCGGATAATAGAGCAGGAGTGGGAGACGGAGAGATGAGGGAAAAGAGGGACAGATGCAGAAAGATGCAGGCTGGTATCATATACTGTTGAGTGGGCTGTGGGAGAAGTCATACAGCGAATAAAGAAATAAAGACAGAGTGCTGAGGAGAATGGAGAGAGTCGTAGTGAGAGGGTTAGGAAGAGGCAGCGCTCCAGTACCTCATTAGGTTGAGGTCTATTTGTGAGCGGCCTACTGCTGGGCTGGATCTGCTGCCCTCACTCACAGGAGTGGTGCTCCAGGCTGCTGGCTCTCTCCAACCCCCCTCTCTTTTCGCTTTGTTCTTCTCCCTACTTTTCTGCTTCTTTTCAGCTGCTGCTGCAAAGGTTTTTGAGGAAAGCGCATTCTCTAGGAAGGTGGTCTTTTCACCTTATGTTACCCCTGCGTAGGTTAATTTACACCGAAGCGCACAAGTATCCGTGTATCGATAGGCTTTTGAGTGCATGGAAATGGTGGCGTGTGGGAAGAGGGTCGTTCCTTTTAGCTAATACCGCAGCTTGGCGCAGTAAACTGCGTTCATGCGATCATCTGTTTTTACCCCCAGCAGATTTGCTCACCGCTCCAGCATGTCAGAAGTTCTGTGTCTTTTGCAGTCCTCCTAACAAAATATACTTTAAGGCTTATAGGTGAACAGCGTGTGCTCTGTGTATTGTACAGTTTGGCCCAGAGCATATTGATGTCTGCTCATGCATAAACATGTGGGCTGAAACTGCACTAATTAGCTTAATTAATTCCACTGTTTGGCACCCAGTGTTTGCTGGGAACTCTCTTTCCTCTTTGGATGTTCGTGAAAAGGTTTTGACCTTCTACTATCTTTACAGTACTTTCTCAAGTTGTTTAAAGTTGTTTATGTGAAGTGGGATTTTTGAACGTTCACCGTTTCTTTTAGAGAAACTTGTGAACCCTGTTTTTGAATTATACCAGTATGCAGGAAATTGCAAATTTAGACTTGCAGAATCCCAATTTCCAAGTCTGAGCTGTCTCTTCCCTCTTTTCACAGCTGCGGCTTCACCATCTGCACTGATAAACAACAATTGTGAGTAACACACTGACGTTCTATGAGTCGTGGTTGTACGTTTTACCCTTTTCTGCTTTAAACTCTCTCCAAAACAGAAAGAATCTAATCACACTTTATTTATTAATTTGATCAGATTTTTTACCATTTTTTTAATACCTGTGATATGATGCCTGCAAGGTCAGGTGACCCTATAAGCTCCTGAAAGATTTAAGCAAGTGTTCTTCATTCCCTTAATGTCAAAGCATGTCAGCATTTAAAACCTCGGTGAGGAAATGAAGCATAATTATCCTGATCACAAAAAAGAGACATAAAACGAGTAATGTCCTCTAACTGTTAGCAACTACCAGTAACATTAAGTCAAGGTGCTAGCTTCTAGTTCATCTTTTCATAGCTGTCTGTCAAACTAATCTCTGTAAGCAGGTATTAACATGTAGAATCAGTAGACATGGGGCTAGGGATGTTTACCGAAAACCTGGTGTTAAACAGGCTTCAGGTCTTAACTGGAGCATCAATACACTCCAGTGTTATTGGTACTGCTTTCAGTAGTGGAAGAACGTAAGAAAATTAATTCATTATTGCTAGAAAAAAACATAATTTTTCACATTTTTATTTGACTAGCTTTGATTAGCTTCTGGCCTTACATGCCAGTAGGTCTTTTAGCAAGTAAAGAAGGAAACGAGCGGTTCTTTGAAACATTCGACAAAGGTCCATCACATTTAGACAAAAAAAGTGCACGTTTGATGTCCTAGAATCAAAAATATGAACATGAAGTAATGATTAAAAGTAAGTTGTTAGTAACCTGATAGCTTCAGAAATCCCCAGTTTCAGCTTCAGACGAGTGAATTTTTGTTGGTGCACTTGCATCCACGTAACCCCCCACCCCCCCACCCCACCCACCCACTCCGACTTCACACCCAAATAAACTCATGAGATCCACATAACTTCACTTGCCTACCTGACAAAATCTGCTACGACATTAGGTAATATCTGTTATTAATTTGATTCTTTCTTTCTTTCTGCAAAAAGTACCGATAAGAACACAAATAAACTCCCATCCACCCTGTGCAGAGCAAATACCGAATGTTTCCTGTCTGACAATGTTTGGACTATAAGTTAAGGTTTAGGTACGAGTGATTATTACCCAGTGCTGATTATATGTTGAATTTAAAGCCTTCATTATATGGGGAATATGGATTTTCACATATTCGAGTACACACACACACTTGCTTAGGCTGCTGCCCCCGCGACCCGGCCTCGGATAAAGCGGAGGAAGATGGATGGATGGATGGATGGACATAATCGAGGATTCAGCCAAGCTATAGTCAAAATAATTCAAATATTATATTACAGTCCTGCAGAAGATACAAAATTACAGTGATTGCACATTAATTCAGTGAATTTTATTTGATGTTAATTTTATCTGTGGATGTGGTGAAACACACACTTCTGCTTTAACCTTCATGTTAATTAGTCCCTCACAAAACTTTCTGCTGTAGTTTTATCAGCGTGAATGCAGCAGTTGAATGCCATGAGTAACATCCTATATATGTATGGCCACATGACTTTGTTACAGTGCTGTGAAAAAGTATTTTCTCCATTCCTGATCGTCTTTGTTCTTTGCATATTTGTCACCCTTATTTGTTTCATATCATTAAACATTCGCAAAAGGTAACCGGAGTAAGTACTAAATTCAGTTTTTAAATAAAGAGTTCAGTTTTTAGGAGCAGGGGGGTAAGGTCCCATAATACCAACTGAGCTTGTTAAATCGTTAATTTATTGGGATTACGACATTTTTAGGAAAGCTGAGTTCAGTTTCAGTAGCCACACCCAGGGCTGACTACTGTCAGGCCTGCTGAGGTCAGAGTTCATGATTCAACAATAAGAAAAGTGATTGGGCAAAAATGGCATCCATGGGAGAGAACAAGGAGAAAACCATTGGTGATCAAAAAGAACTCAAAGGCTTGTTTCACATTTACCAAAAAACGTCTTGATGATCTCAGAGACTTTTGGTAAAATATTCTGTGGACCGATGAGACAAAAGGTGAACTTTTTGGAGGGGCTGAGTCCCATTACATGTGGAATAAAACTAACACAGCATTTTAGAAAAAACCCCATCATACAGCAGTCAAACATGGTGGTGGTAGTGTGACACGGTCTGGGGCTGCTTTGCTGCTTCAGGACGACTTGCTGTAACCGTGAATTCTGCTCTATATCAGACAAGATCTGAAGCACACCAGTCAGTCCACCTCTGAATGGGTCAAAGAAACATTGAGGTTTGGAGCGGTTTATTCAAAGTCTGGACTCGAATCAGATTGAGATGCTTTGGCCTGACCTAAAACGGGCCGTTCATGGTCGAAAATCCACCAATGTGACTCAAAGCAATTCTGTAATGATGAGTGGGCCAAAATTCCTCCACAGTGATGTAAAAGACTCAGTGTCAGTTATCACAAGCACTTGATTTCAGTTCTTGCACAACCAGTTATTAGGCTTAGGGGGCAATTATTTTTTCACACACAGGACCAGGTAGGGTTGGATAACTTTTAACCTTTCAACCTTTTAAACATGTTTGTGTTTACTCTGGTTATGTTTGTCCAATGTTAAGTTTTGATTGATGATCTGAAACATGTAAGTGTGACAAATATGCAAAAACTAAGAAACCAGTTTTTCACAGTACTGTATGTTTTATTTCTCTGTTAATAATAGCAAACCTGGAGTACAGTGCATGACAGGTATTACTTTAATCCTTCATCCAAGATTATTTCTCACAAAACTAATCATTGCTGCATATATAGACTTTATTAATGCAGATTCACAGACTCAAAGGTGCAGCTATGGCACAGTCTTTTATTTATTTTTTTATTCGGTGATCCCCTCAGAAGAATCTGTGTCCACTGCTGTGACTCACCAAGTCCAGCTGCCTGATTAAAATGGGTGTGAAAATAATGAGGTGGAAATCAGCGACTGATGTGACCAAGCTTTCTCCTCCTCAGGCATTTCTGCTGCGACAAGAGGGAGACGCAGGTCAACTGGGTGACAGACATCATCAGGATGAAGGTAAGATGACGCACAACTAGAGAGGAAGTTAAAACAGGAGCGAGGAATTCTCTCATGCAGACGCTCGATAAGGCAATTTAATGAGTAGACGCTGAAGTGTGCGGCGTAGCTGCAGGACTGCAGGAGAACTATGTGCATCCCTCTCTAAGCCTTTTATTGCGGTGTCGTGAGCCAAAAATATCAGTGAATGTGACATGCACGCTGTGGACATATCCTCCTCCTTTTCTCTTCCATATTTGGATGAAAAAATACCCTCAAATACAGACAGAATAAATCATCTTTTTTTTTTTTTTTTACAATCCATATCTCAGAACAAGGAGATATGATAAATCATATGTTTTTCTCCCAATCATCCTTTTCCTTTGTACGGTTAGGCAGACAAAAATACATAAACAGGGGAGAGAACTGTAAAGTTTTCGAGGTCACTCAGCAATAACATAAATCACTTTATGTGGAAAAGCTGTGAGAATAAGGTCAAGGCGACTGTAACAATCACATTGTGGTACTTAGCCTCCAGATAGAGCTAAGTGTTGTCGCTGTCAGTCGCTGACACAGCACATATGACATAAATAATGCAGGGCAAAGCAAACCAAGGGGAGAACAGCTACGCACGTGTCATAATCTTGTATTAATTTTCACTCTCGCAGTCATTTCTGCCCCCCTCCAAGAGAAACGGCGTCTTATTTTCTCATTAGACTCAACACTGCTGTCTATTTTTTGCTCATTTTCAAGTAAAAGACCAAAGTTGAACTTCACACTCGTCCTTAACTGAAAGATCGAAGGAAGATTTGCCAGCTCTGTATTGTATGCTCAGCACATTTCATCAGTATTAGCACTCTGGCTGTCTCCCTTTATGGGAACCCGTCTGCAGCAAAGTGTTGTTTATCACAGGTGCTTACTGTAAAAGCCTTTTAGTGCCTTAGTTTGGGTTAGAAAGTAAAAAGGGCAACACTGTCGGGGAGAGATTGATCTAAAGGGGAAGGCAATTTTTGTCTGTTGTTTCTAAGTGTTTCAAGGTGTTTATTTCAGTGGACTTTCCCCCCTCCTCCTCGCTCTTTGCAGAAGCTCCCTGCTCTGAAACAACTAAATCTATAGCAGACCGGAGCCGGCTAAAAATATTAGAATTCTCTTCCCAAATCCGCTAAATATCAGGATTGTCAGCTTCCAACGCAGAGGCTTGAGGGAAGGACGCGGGACTTGTGGGAAGGGCAGAGAGAAAGTGCAGATGAGAAAGTCGACGGAAAGCACTTGTTCTTGATTTCCCTTACCTTACCTGTTAGCGAGCATTGTGCTCCAACAGTTTCCATAGCAACTGGCGATGGAGGACCTCATTCTGAAGCAAGGTAGAATGGGTGATGGCGGGTGTTCGAGAGTTGGGGGAGGGTGTAAAGGTCCAAGGACAGGTCCTGGCATTGATGAAATAAAGATTTGTTTAAGAGGGACGGTTTTACACGTTGGTGGGGGGTTGTGGGGGTGGGGGGTCACAGTGATTTAAAAGGAGACATTGTTAAAGAGAAAGTTTAGCCGGAGATCAGAGCGCAGCCAGACAGCTGTACTGGAACAGAGTGTCATCATTCTTTGACTTCCCCTCATTATTAAAGATGCTTGTCTCAATCTGACTGAAAACTGAACCGGCACGTAGATATTTTAGACTAAGGAGCATCTAAAAGGAGATCATGCTTTTCATTAATTATTCATACTTTCAAAAACAAATATTTTTGCTGACAGTTCTGTTTCTCTTTCCTTTCCTTCCTTCATTCTCACACAGTCAAGGGAAGCCATCCAGTTTTTAGTGCGTCTTGGAGTCATCATTAGTCTATTCATTCATGTTATTCCTCATCTACTCAATTTTACTGCGCAGGTCTCATACATGCAGAGCTGGACCTTAAAGAGCATACAAAGACAATAAATGAAAATAAAATTGTTTTAAATGATATATAACCCGTTTTCATGATGTCTGCCTTGTGCCTTCAGTATGGTTCTGACCTTCATGCATCCACTAACTCAAAAGAAATGGCAGATCACAAATCCACCAGAGGTGGAGCTCTAACTGAAGGGAGCAAGGTGCTGCCTCAGAACCTCAACTCTAGCAAACAGGTGAGGAACTCAATGTTTTTTTTACCCCTCAGCCATAAAAGGCTGATGGGGGGTATTGTTGTGCTTGGCAGCGTGGGCACCCGACTTTGTGAACACAAGAATGTGGGATTTTCAAATTGATACCAAAGGTGCATCTACTGAAAAACTCAGATGACTTTAAATCTCAGTAACATTGACCTCAAGGTCCTCTGACCCTGATCCCAAAGTCAAAGGTCATGTTTACTGAAAATCTTGTGAATGTAATAACTCACAAAAGAAGTTACATTGGATTTTCACATTTATACCATAGGTGCATCTACTAGGAGGCTGAGAACTGGTGGTTTTTTCTTTATAGCTCTTATTTACTGCCATGGTTAGGTTGGAAAGTAATCGATCAATATTAATATTAGTATTATTATTAGTTTTTCAAGAGTTTCAAAATATGGCTATGTTTGCCATCAGACCATGCTTCCATTTTTCTTTTACTGCTTAGTTCATGGTCACAGGTAGTCTGCCGCCCACACCACCTGCCACAGAGCAGAAGACGCACAATCTCATATCCTCGTGTTGGTGTTGCTCCTACGTCAGAGTAAAAATATTAGTCCAGGATCAGCATTCCTGCAGACCAGTCACCATACACCTAATATAACCACATCCCTAAGATATCAGATTAACATGATTGGTCAGTTGTCATGTTCATCCTGGACCAACATTATTATGATGATACAGAAACAACACCAACACGGGGCTATCTGATAGACTGTGAAAAACTTTAGTTTTATTTAGCTTTAGTTTTATTCTTGTCATCATGCATCATGCTATGAGTGATTATAAGATTGAAGTGTCTGTGGTTTCACTACATCTATATCTGCCATGTTTACCTATAGACAACCGAAAGGAGGGTTTCTCTTGGAGCTCTTGGAGATGGAGAATGGAGGCCCCCCACCAAGGATCCTAGTCCCCACTTCAAGTCCAACACCATAGGTGCTCCAAAGTCCAGTACCATGGGTGCTCCAAAATCCAACCCCATAGCTGTTCCAAAGTCCAACACCATAGGTGCTTCAAAGTCCAACGAACCATTCAAACCCCCAGCAATCCCAAGCAGAAGAACTTCAGTGGATGTTTGCCTGCCTCTACAGCTCCCGTCACCATCTTCTTCCAGACACATGCAGCCCATGCCTTTGCCTGTTCTTCCTCAAAGTGGCTGTAAGACGGTCAATAAAAGACCTGCTCTGGGTGGGGAAGCTATACTCCCTCCAAATCTGCTGAATGAACTCAACTCTGTCCTGAACAAGACTGGTCGCACTAACAAGAACAATGACTGACAGGAGGAGACATGAGGGGGAAATTACATAAAGTATCATGATCATTTCTGAAAGACGACACAGTATTAATGAAAAGAGAACAAGTTGCTTTCATGAGCGATGATCACAGTCTGACCTGAGCTTTTGAACTTGTATATATATGGAGATGGTGATGCACATGGGTATGTGCAAAACAGGTGCAGGAGACTGCAAAGGTCACGCAAACCTCAGCTGGCCATGGCGCTGACCCAAGCACTACAAATAAAGATTTATATACCACTGTTTGAAAGCTAGAGAAAGTTATGTAAATATGTTCCGCTATCAAACTCAGAAGTTTCTGGAAACATTTCCAAATGCTTATGCAATGTCTTTTTTTCCAGCTAAAGCCTTGCCAAAGAATTTGCAACTATACTTTTACTTTTACAGGCAGGAGCCTGCTGTTACCTTACAGCGGCCATTCCCAAAGTCAATAGTGCTGCGGGCCACTTAAAAAATAGAAAATCCCATGGGGCCAACCAATAATAAATCTTTCTCTAATCAAAATACAAGTGAAAGTAATATATTTTTTGGATAATTTTATTAAAACAAAACAAAACAGCAAAGGCTGCTAATTCTACGCAGTCATATGCAAAGTTTTTTGGACAATGTGTGTAATGAGTAATATCACAAATTAGCCACCTCCTCTTACCAGTTGTAATTCACTTTTATAGAAATAAATACTACAGTTACATATTTATATAAATGTAATGTCAAAGCTAAGTTTTCGTTATTATTGCTCCCCACCTGCAGCACCATGGCAGTCCACCAGGGGGCTCCAGGGAATTGTGGCCTTACAGGACAACATTTCTCCTGGATATGTACAGCATTGCCAATACAATCATACATGTTGGTGCACAAAAAGCTGATTTGGTGTGCACAAGTCGGTAATGGTTTTAAATAGAAGTATGATACAATATTAGCTGGCTGTGGCACACAGGCCAAAGTGTTAGGTACCTTTATTTATTTGTAGTTGCTTTTATGGTTCTAGCAGTTTTTGTACCACTGTAACTGTTACAACTGTAACTGAACTGTAGCCCCACTGGCAGTGTTTTTGAAGCCTAAGATTATGTGCCATACCATTTTTAAACTTTGCAGGGGGCCGTCACCAAATGTCAAATTAATGTACAGCATAACAATATGAATAAATGTGCTAAAACATTTAGTGAAGTTGCACATTCATGTTTAGCGTTTTCATAGACATTACGTGGTTAATTTGTTCCTGGACTGATCTTGGACTAACATTTTGCTAGCTTGTTTCTATGGGTTATCTTTTTTTCTGGTATTTTAAGAAGAAAAAAGGCCTGAAAACAGAAAATATCAGCATGATGATGCAAGAGATCATAATCTCATGACCACATTCAAAACAGAAGCAATTTTTCTGTTGGTGTTGCAAACAAAATAACATATAGGTGATTCAAATAGAATACAATAAATATAAATGAGAAGTGATTCAAATGCTAACCAAAATAAATAAAAGCGCATCAATGGAACTGAACATGCAGATAATAGAATTGAAGTTGGTTTGTATTAATCACTGATTATCAGAAAGATGGATCCATCTGTGTGGAGGAAGTGGTTGAAAGCATCTTTAGTGTGTTCTGATGTGTCTTTAGGTTATACCAGCTGACTGCTTCTTAAAGATCTGTGTGTCCTCCTGGGTATAAATTCGTCTAGGGATTGTCTGAACTGTATGTATGCCTGAGATTATTGAGTGACCTATAAACAAGTAGCAGCTCTCTCAATGTCTTCACTGGGAGTCAGTGTAAACATCAGTATTGTGCTCAGTTCTCTTGGTTCTTGTTAGAGCTCTTGCAGCAGCTTTCTGACAGAGCTGTAGATGTCTAAAGATATTTTAGGGAGACTGGAGAAAATCCCTCTAAAGCATATTGATTTGGTTATTAATATGATGTTGCTTGGCCCTGAATTGCCAAAATATGTAACTTGAACTTTTGTCTTTGCAGTCAAAGTGAGAAAAATACAATAATTTATGTCTTAAACTAACTCTGACTCTCATTTAAGTTTATGGGTCTGTAGTGCTTATGGGTGCTGAAAGACCCGAGTATGTTTAGTGCACCTTAAATAGCTTAAAAAACCAACAACAACTACAACAACTATGTGACATTGTGTGTTATCCAGCTGGAAGCATCCACCAAAAGATGGGTACACTGTGGTCATAAACAGGTGGACAAGGTCAGCAACAATACTCAGGTAGGCTGTGGTGTTTAAATGATAAGTTGGTGCTAAGGGTCCCAAAATACCCCTCACACCACTACATTACCTGAATATGGCCTGAACTGTTGATACAAGGCAGAATGGATACATGCTTTCATGTTGTTTACACCACCCTCTGACCCAACCACCTGAATGTTGCAGCAGAAGTCGAGACTCATCAGATCAGGCAATGTTTTTTTCAGTTTTCTCTTGTCCAATTTTGGTGAAGTTGTGTGAATTGTAGCCTCAGTTCCCTTCTACTCTAGCCCATCTACCTTAAGGTTTGATATATTGTATGTTCAGAGGTACTGTTCTGAGCAAGAACATGCCAGTAGATCAGCAGTTTCTGAAATATTCAAACCAGCATCGTTGGCACCAACACTAGTGCTACATTCAAAGTTACTTACCGTAAGTCACCTTTCTTCCCCATTTTGACACTCAGTTCGACCTTCAGCAGGCTGTCTTGAATATGCCTAGATGCACTGAGTTCCTGCCATGTGATTAGCTGATTATAAGTTTGTGTTACACAGGAGTTGTGCAGGTGATAAGTAAGTAAATAATTAGGTTGCCGGAGAGTGTCGAATAAAAAGTAGTGGCCCGAGAATCGAACCCTGTGGGACTCCACATGTCCC